TCGTTCCTTTCAGAGGGCCATTCCCTAAGAATTCCACAGACTCCTGTCTGGATGCTTCCCTGGAGACCAAAAGCCTGTTCAAGTCAAGGGTCAATCGCTATCTACCCTCCTCATAATCTCCATTTCATACCATCACATTTCATTTATCTTTATCATTTTAACTCTACCTTGAGTGACTCTCGGTCCTTTTTAATTTGGTTATCCAAAAATCAGATATTAAATATTTTCTCTTGAAATACTTCGGTTATTATTTGTCTGCCAATAACTATGTTGTTTCTATTCTCTATTTTTGAACAGAATCTCCCAACATGTAGGGTGTTTTACTTATTATACTTTTATTAACGCAACTTAATAAGAATAAAGAGACAGGTAAAAATTTCTCCACCGATTGTCTTAATTACAAGTCGGGAACTCCATTCAATTTTTTTTACCAAAAAAGACAATCCAAGCTTCTGTATAGCTTGTGAATTAATTGGTATTCTGCTACTGTGGAGACTTAGGTACACTTTCGATACTAAGAACACCGGTCTGTACAAAGATTTACGGACTTATCCTTCTACGTAATACCAATCCACAACAAACAGACCGATTTAAGAAACAATTCTTCAAATTCTTTAAGGATCACTGACTTAATATCACCACTAACACCAACGCCAAGGTAAAAAACTTTCTGGACACTACTTTCGATTTATACTGAGGAGTACACATGCTTTATACTAAAGAGCTTTATAAACATATATACATTAGCAAAGAATCCACCAACTCACCAGGAATTTTAAATAACTTGCACAAATCTACACTATTTACATTATTCGGACTATTGTGCTCATCTTTGTTGTCATATTTATCACAACGTTTCGGCCGTTGTGCGCTCCGACCTTCTTCAGGTGGTTGGAATGTCGAAGTGAACCATTTATTTCCTCGTCAGGTTAACTTATTCTAAGAATTATTTCTTTATTTAATTGCCCAAAAACAAGACAGTAATGCCACTAGAACGCAGAGGTATTACAGGGTGTGAAAGAGAATGAGAATATTTTAGTGTGTGGGTGGGGGTAGATTAAGGAAAGGATAAAAAAGGAACAGGGTTCAAGAAGACATAGCGATTAAGTTTGCATTTAAATTTTTGGAGATTGTAGTTATCAGGGAAACAAGAAAGCGGAAGGGAGTTCCACAGGTGGGAAGTGCAAGACAGAAACTGTTAGAGTAGAAGGGCTGTTGCATCTAGCTATTTAAGCTGTAAAACCGTGAGACCTAATTGCCAATCTAGTAGCAAGCTTAAATTTATGTAGTGAAGACACCAAGGGCGAAAAAAACATATCACAACAGTTGCCATGAAAATATTTCTTGAAAAAACTGGAGTGGGGGGCGAATCCCCTCATTTCTTTTGTGTCCCAAATATATCTTCATTTCATACCACCTCCTTTTTCATTCATAACACTCATCATTAATATTTTAACAGTACCTTGAGTTGCTCTCGAGCTTGTATTGGGTAAATTCTAGTGTAAAATTATGTTTAAGGTTGTTATATCGTGGATAATACGATATCAAAAACCAGGTAATCCCGAGTGGAAAGATTACACTAACGCAAGAATTAGGTAAAACAAATGACAAGGTTTTATTGTACGGAAAATACAATAAGTAAGAGTTCGTAAATATCAGTAAAACGGGGGATACGTCAGGGAGATCTTAGTCGTCCTTCATACGTGGTATTTACTTGACCCCCCACGAGGTCAAGTTGTGACACAAGGTCGGTTTAATGTGGGGAGCCCGAGCGCGTGCACCCGGGCAAGGAACAAAAATTCCCCGAACCTCCGCAACCGTCGGTTGCGCTGGCCTCGGTACGTGCACCGATCCTTCTCTCTAGTGCAATGAGAAGGCGCGGCCTTGGGCAGCTGTTCCCCAGGGATGGGTACCTCTTCAGTATAATTTTCCTCAGTTGCCCCTCTGTCCTTTGACAGAGAAGCCTCTTGAGTGCACTCTGTCCAACGACAGAGACGCAACTGAGAGATGATAAATAACGCGAAATCCCTCCAAGGAGGGATTTACGTGCTAACAGTTAAGCATGTCATTAGTGATTTTACAAGCCCCATACTTTCGGCCTTGTGCCGAAAGTATGGGGCACCCAGTGAGGATCGAACTCACTATTCAATCTTAAACGTCCTAGCGAGACAAGCTTGCTAACCATTACACCACCTCGAGGTACCCTTCGTCCTTCATACTGTTCTACTACAATAGTTCGTCACGTCTTTTATTCTCCCAGTTACGTCTCTTCTAGACTGACCGATCACAGTTGGGGTGTGTTAGGTAGTTCCACTTTAACAAGGGTGCAAGTGTCTTTGTTAAACATCAAAGATGGATTGATAAGTGTTTCCACCTAACATCATTTGTATTCTTTATAGCAGCTACTTATTTGACTACCCTTTTCTAATGAAAACTCTTCTTTGCATTGATTTTCTGACTAATTTTCCTCATGGAATATTAAAAAATATAAAATACGTCATTCCAGTTCACTGTCTTGTCTGTCATTATCCTCGTAGTTGAAGAAAACAAGATGTCAAGGTCATATGTATCAAATTGTTCATGAAGCTACTAAAAAATAAATCAAGATCCGAATTGTCGCGAAATTCATGTCAGTATCTGTGTCGTTCCTGTATTCCTGAACATACGATGAAAGACTTCAGTGCGCAGCGGATAACTGCCCCCTTATCGGGAGCATGAAGACACCATGCCAATATAATATCATTCCCCTCTCTTTGTCACGGCTGTAACAAGCCTATCGGGACTTTATCCCAATTTCCATGGCAAATGTTTAAATTAGTTTTGTTCTTTAGATATACAATCTCAATTTCGAATTTTTACAGTTTATCAACACTTTGGAAGCATATTTTGGGGATTGTAAGAAAAATACTTTTTTGCCCGTTGCATTTAAAGTTATTTGCGAATAACAATAATCTTTTGAAGAACACGTTATATTATTTAACCCATAGATGAAGGAGGAGAGTGATTTGTACCCTTCGCAAGGGTATTTACCCATAAGTGAATGTAATGAAACCGACTGAAATTCGAACTCGGCCCTCCCAGTTCTCATTTCGAGGCGCTATTTATTACGCCAACTGCTCAACTTCATCAGCAACATTATTCAATGTAAGAACGAGATATAAATGAAAAGCGCGATGGTATGAACATTTTAAAAGTAAGGGCAACAAATAACGATTGACTCTAGACTTGAAGAGATTTAAATAGTGTTCAGAAAAGCATCCACACGGGAAATTTGAACTTTACTTCTTTTTACGGAGTCATCTTTATAGCCAGGATATGCTACTTTATGTTAATCAGTATCACCCCATGCAAGGCCGCAAATCCACTAAGACACATAAGATTGCAGGGTGCGGAAGAATTAGAAAACAAAAAAACATTAATAATTAACAGAAAGAGAAAAGTGTAATCAGGAGAACTGTAGACAGCGATTTAAATTGCATTTATATTTTTGCAGATTGAAGTTCGCTGGAAAGCATGAAGCTGGAAGGGAAGTTCCACAAGCGAGAAGTGCGAGAAAAGATACTGTTAGCATAAAATTTACGGCTCCATCTAGCCAGCCCAACTCTAAATTGAAGAGATATCGACATCAGTCAAGTACTTCGCATAAATTCAAAAATTTAGGCCACTTAAAGAAAAGCTCACCCGAACAATTACCATGAAGGCATTTATAGAAAAGACACGGAGAGGCAACCTTTCGGTGGCGAGAAAGTGACTAAAGCCGGCTCTCAATAATGACAAATAGAGAGATCTTTAGTTTTGGAAGCCTTAAAATTAACAAGCCATGTTTTGATCCAGTTCACAACTGACTTGAAGTCGTTTATATCATGAGACCTAACCTGAATGTCAAATTATGAGATACACAACTTTTCTAAACTTCTTATGTAGTGTGTGATTCACTGCAGGCAATTTAATATCAATCAGAAATCTTTGATATAAAAGGGGTTAATCAATGGCGATCCTAATATGTAATGGGTTCACCATAAGAGATGCTAATTTAAGCTTTGTATTTAGTGCCAGATCAGAACGTCAAAAGAGCTAGATGCCTCAGGGGGTTAACCTATAAGTTAAGCTCAGCCACTATGTAGAGAATCGGGCCTCAAATGATGTCGGTTAATGCGCTGAAATATATAGAAAGTGAACACAGCTGGACATATGTAATACAAACGGATAACTGGAGGTTATCTAAACGCGCAAACAAACATGGGAAAAGGCAGGCACTTAGCAATCATGCAAGAAGATCGAACTTTCTTGGAAAAACTTAGAACCAAATACCTTCGATTAGGCCAACGTTAATTTAATGGAAAAAGCGTTAAATTAACTATAGGCTTGCGACGTTGCGCCTGTGAGGAGGTTCCAGAGTGGAGATTAATTATTTCCCTATAAGACGACGGTATAAAGGATTTTAAACTCTTAAGCAAGCGAGGAGGCACGGTGGAGTAATGGATATCGGCTCGGATTGACGAATCCGAGCCGAGTTCAAATTCCAGTCGAATCCATTACATTCACTTACGTGCTAATACCCTTGGGAAAGGTATGAATCCTCTTCCAGGATTCATAGTAGGACAGGCAGTGTTCTATAGCCTTGGCTGAAAGAAATGGCAACCTACTGCGAGAAAAACCTGCCTCGTCAGTTATGTATCGAAAGATACATGATTGCCTACGCGTGTATCACGCATGACACATAACTGACTGACTGAATCAAGGGTAGAAAGTGAAGACTGAGCAGCTCCAGCCCAGATTGGGTAGCAATATTCCATTTTTATTTTATCTACTCTGACCCTTTTAAAGGTAAAGGATGGAGAAAGGCGCCAAAAACATGATGTACAAGTCTTTTGACAGGACGACCAAATCATATGACAACTTTTACGTTTTTAACGAAAGGAGAGCAAGCGAAACGACTCCAACAAATTGGACCCGTGAACGAAGCGAGAATGGACTCGGTTTCACTTAGATTTCGAACGATGTTAATTATTTTGTCTTACGCAAAGATAGGCGTGCGTCAGCCGACCATCGCACGTCGTTCGGTCGACTGCCGCGCATCAGGTGGCTGTAGCCCGCCCAGCTGGCCACTGACTCACTCCCTTTCTTCGGCGGCGCGACCGACTCGAATATCCATACCACTATATTTCTCTGCAATTGTGCACAAAGCTCAAAGAGCTTCAATTCTCAGCTAGACCTCTAGAAGCATATTTTCGATTACGATACAAAATACATATAAAAAAATGTTGAAACAACTTATCTAGGGTAAAAAATAAACGAGTGACACATTCAAGTATTTGCCATCATGAAAACACCTTTCTAATAGGACTATTTTATTAGCATGTTATTAAACATACCTAATACAACAGAAAACTAACTGAAAAACATAATTTACTAGAAACTAATGGGCATTTTAAGGAATTGGCTAGCAGCCATCTTGGACGTTATCTTGAAAATTAAATATTTCCGGTGATCATCTTTTAAATTTATCAGGTTATTAAGAATATTTTGTATTACAAAGAAACTTTCTACCTATACTTTAAATTTACTAGGTTCATAAGAATGCTTTGTACTACAAGGGAACTTTCTACTCACATTTTAAATTTATTACGTTTACTTTGTACTATAAAAGAACTTTCAAATACCTTTGCTTAGATGAATACAGAATGAGTAGTGGGCATTTGAAGAATTTGGCTAGTGGCCATCTTGCACACTATCTTGAAAATCATCGCTTTCCAGTAACGAGATTGTGGTAAACATTTGAGATGTTAGCAAGTACACCTGATACTCGTAAATGCCATTGAGATGGCTGGTCTTGGAAACATTGACGGAGTGTGCATTCTTTTGGCTTGAAGAATTTGGCTTTCATCTTTAAAGCTATGATAAAAAAGCTGGAAACTTGGATACTTCTATGTTATTTGTCACTATATTAGGGAACTTTTCTGGGCGGGAAATCAGCGTATCTATTTATTTGAGATGTTTAAATTAAACTTGTACTATTTGTACTATTAAGTACTATTTGTACTATTAAGTACTTTGTGTTTGCTCTTGAAAAAGTGTTTGAATCCTTATCTCGCAAACGACTGACAGTGGTTTCCATTCACAGTTGGTTATCTACTACTGTGAACTTATAGCTGAATATTATTTTAAGTTCGCATTTGTAAGTTTAAATTTTAACCAAGAATAAGAAATATAAGAAAATATTTACATTTGTTATATTTGTTCTTTGAAGGAATTCCTTTTATTCCAAGATTTTTATCAAACAGTTGATATCAACTGTTTGATAAAAATCTTTTGAATGACCCATGTCCTATGTACTTACATGAGAAACAATATATTACTAGGTTTATATAAAGAATAAAAGTTTACTAAATCAGTGAAATTAAGTCGCTATTTTTGCCGTCATTGTCATAAATTTTACTTAAATAATATTTAAATATAATTAAAAAAAATAATTGTTACCTAATAATATACATACTTATACTTGATGTGAAAATAATTCTACATACTGAAAAGAATTCTAATACATTTAATTGTTCTTAAAAGAAATATAGTATATTAAAAATTAAAAATTAAAAGTGATAATATTTCAAATCGTAGTTAAATAAAAAGTATTCTAACCTAAAAAAAACCCCAAAAATCTTTAAATATACAAATAGAAAAAAATGCCGTAAGAATTTTGGCCGTTAACAATAAAATTTTAAAAAATCCAGACGACATGCATTTGTTAGATTTCATTGAAAAATACATCCCTGTCCCCTAGCAAAACGTAACTAATAACTGATACATCAAAATACAGATATAATGAACACGCAGACACCCCTTGTCCAGTGGAAGTGGATTTCTCTGTATCCTTGGAAACGTGAATTATGATTTTTGCTATGTCTTTAAAACCCAGTAATTTTAAAAGTTACTCTAAAATTCGCTTGAGGATGAAATGGAACTAATGTCTTTAATTTAATTAAAAAATTAAATTCGGAGCTTTTAGCTTCCATTTTTGAAACGTGATTAGAACTGTGTAGCGAAAAAAAACATATTTTAAATCAATTAATTTATAATATTAATGCTCTGTAAATTTACATTGAGCACTATTTTTTTAAAATAGAAATATCTATAAGAACACCGGATTATATATCTTACTGTTATTTCTTTATATATATATATATATATATATATATATATTATACTGTTTTAAAAAACAAAGAATTTATTGATGGTAATAGTCGCTAAGGCCCTTTCGTCCAACATCTCATCAGGAGAAAATCGTTGTAAAAATTGATGAATTAAACGAAAAGCAAAAAAAAAGGGGGGAAACACGCTAAAATCAATAAAATAAAATACCCACCCCCAATAAATTAAGGGACTTCACAAAGTCCTTCTGCCGGCAATGAGAAATATATTAATATAAAATTACTTATTACATTTGTTGACACCACAAAAAAACCTTTCTATAAAATAAATGAATAAGAAAATTACATTATACTTCTTTCTTCTTTTATCTGCTACTTCTCTTCAAGACGTCGGCAATCATGGCTCTCCTAACTTCCTATTCTTTGTAGCTCTTGCTAATGATTACTTTTAACTGTTTTTCTCCGTTTCTATTCTACCATTTATTTACACACACTTTTTAGGCAGGTTACTCGCTGTTATTCCCCCCCCCCGCCTCTTGCCTTCAGTATGTTATGTGCCTGTCAAATTTCTCCAAGCCATCTTTCCTCATTATATATATATATAATATATGCAACAGAAATTTATAGAAACAAGGATCTTTCCATTCATAAACAGGTTCGGTGTTTTTGTATATTATTTGAATTGTGCGCGACGATGGATTTCTCGCCAATTAAATCATTAACCTTTGTATTTGTTTTTTGTATGAATAATTCATGAATTTGTAAATTAATTGCACCTTTATTGAAATATATATATATATATATATATATATATATATATATATATATATATATATATATATATATGAGGAACAGTGTAGTAGTGGATAGCAGCCGAGTTATAATTCCAATTCGAATTACATTCACATGCTCATACTTTTGGAAAATCCTCTTCTACTCTCCCCAGCTATGGGTAAATAGCAGGACAGACTGGGTTCTATAGCCTTGGATGTCAACTGGTCTAGGAGAAGGACAGCTCTGATTCAAAACCTTCGGAGGGTTGTTCAAAAACTGTGGTTATTTCTGCACAAAGCCTATAATCAAATCATATGTACAGGTGCCTGGCTGTCGGTTCCTCGGAACAGAGCTGCTTGACCATCATATGTCCAATTCGACGATATATATATATATATATATATATATATATATATATATATATATATATATATAAAGAACTTTTACTAATAATCAAAACCACATCACTTGAGAACTTCCAACGGCAGAAAATTGAAATGAACCCAAAGAGAAGATAATATACTATTCAGTTAATGAAGTTCGAATGTTTCCTTATAAGGAAACGAATATTCTCACCATTACCAATACTATGAATAAAGTCAAATATTCTTTTAGGATCGACAAACATCGCGAAACGCTTGCTTGTTTTTCCATCTGTCTGTTATTCTTTCTCGATTTTCTGTCAGTAAATATGCCTACCGTTCCAGCAGGTAAAATGAGTACACATTCTTTTGGTATATTTTTATCAGAAACAGTGACCGTATGTCTATCATATCCACCTCGACATTCTGAAAGCTTCAATCACCATCCAGAAATTGTCTGCTACCTAACTGCCTGCATCTTACATCTCGGTCACTCACTCGAATTATTCTTTTATCTAACAATCTATATATCTATCTATCTATCTATCTTTCTCTCTCTCTCTCTCTCTCTCTATATATATATATATATATATATATATATATATATATATATATATATATATATATCAGTCTGTTCATATCTGTCTATCTACTTTTCTATCTCAGACTGCTAATATCTATCTATGTATCTATCTATCACATTCCACTTCTTTCTTTCTTTCTTTCTTTCTTTCTTTCTTTCTGTCTCTTTCTGTCTGTCTGTCTGTCTGTCTCCCTCTCTCTCTCTGTATATATATATATATATATATATATATATATATATATATATATATATATATCGATGACAGTTTGTTCTTGTCTACAATTTCGTTCGATCTATCACAGTGTGCTATCTATCTGTCTACCGATATATATATATATATATATATATATATATATATATATATAAAAAGTGAACATAGAAGTCAACACTTAGAGGTGACAGTCTGTTTCATGCTATATGCAATCGTCAGGCCACGTGGCCTGACGATTGCATTATAGCTTTTTTATATATACACACGCTCTATCTCTGATATTGAGAACTTTATCCCATAAATATAGCACACCTTAAGACTATATTTCTTTATATATATATATATATATATATATATATATATATATATATATATATATATATAAGTTATTGGTCAGAGTTGAATTACACCAGGAGACAGTAGTATTAAAACGTGCTCAATTTACGTTCAAATAAAATGAAATGAAAATAAAAATTTAGTATGCAGAACATTTAAATTTGAAATATTAGAACATCCAATCACGCTACCATGGTTTCAACCTTTCGATATGTTCAGTTGATCTGGGTTAAATAATTTCTTAACGCTTTATTTTTATTTTTAAAAATGAATAAATAAACGCACAACAAGAAGCGTAAGAGAAAGGAAGAGAAAATTTTGAGTTCGTTTCAATCCCGATAAAAAAAAAAGTACAATTTATATAACAACCCTCCGATACAATTTCAATATCCTTACTTTTCTCTTCCATTCCATTTCACTTCCTTTATTTATTTATATTCAATAATAAAACGTAAGAAAATTATTTACCCCAGATCCCCTGAAAATACTGAAAGGTTGAAACCAAGGTAGCATGATATTAATTTTTTCATATATATATATATATATATATCCTTGGATAAGTAATCTAAGTAGATCCTAATAATATAAAATATTAAAAATGATCCACAAAAGAGAGCTCAATATATTTATTATAGATCATATGAATGAATTACATAAAAATGAAACCCTCTTACCACTATTCAGATGGCCATTTCACCCACGGATATTCTCCATGGAGCTCGTCAATGCAAAAGTCCTGCGCATGATGATAAACTACCTCGAGTAATATGCCATGCCACGGTAAAATCACCAGATAATGAAGAAAAAGTATGCATAAGAGTAACTGAAGGATCTTGGAAACAAAGAAACTATACACACAAAACATTTTTCACAAATAGAAAATACGCGAACAGCACAATGCTTTCCAAATATGTCTGGGAAATTAAAAACAAAACACAAATCACACCAAAAATATCATGAAAAATAAATAAAAGATCATCAGCCTACAACAATCAATCAAAAACCTGAAAACTTTGCTTGGAGAAAAATAGCTATTATTACCTTCGCAGACCAAAATAAATTACTAAATAAACGATCTGAGTTCATCTCAGAATACAGACACGAAAACAAATTTTTACTACGTTACCTAAAAATCGAAAACTGTAATGATTAAATACAAATAAACAAAATAATATAAGAAACAAGTAAAATAAATTAACCCAAACAAATAACAAACAAATTAACAAACCACTCCAGTTAGAATAGACGAAATAGAATAAATAAAAAAAACATATAAAAACAAGTAAAAGTAATCAACGCAAATAAATGAATAAAGTAAATAATAATAAACAAATTAACAAACCAATCCTGCCAAAATAACCGTTAGAATAGACTACAACCAATCTAAAAATTGGACGTAAAAATAGCTATAACTACTATATAATAAGAAAAACATTAATACGTTACTAAAAAATCAAACAGAGTAAAATAAAAATATACAAAACAGAGTAAATAAAAATATACAAAATAAAAATAAGTAAATAAATAAAAAAAAAAAAATTAATCCAAATAAACAAATGAACAAATCGCCACTGCTAAAATAACCATTAGAACTAATATAAATAAGCATAAATAAGCAAAAAACACGTAAAAATAATCAATCCAAATAAATAAATTAAAAACTCTTTCCCAACCAAAATAACAGAATAGACTCCAGTAAGCAATCTAAGCATTGAGCGAATAAATAGACTTAATTATCTTCGCAGACCAAGACGATTAAATACGCAACCTAAGCAAATTCCCTCATTTTTACGACCTTAATAAAGCACCAATAAACGAAAAGAATAAATAATATAAAATGAAAATGAAAAACAAATAAACCCCCCAAAAAATAAATAAATAAACAAATAAGCCACTCCCGGAAAACTAACCGCCAGAATAGATTATCCACAATGTTCCACTGACCCATATATATAAATAGTCATGGAAAAAGCCAACATTCGAGGCCTGATGATTGCGCCCAGCATGAAATAGCCTGTCGTCTGTGAGTGTTGACTTCAATGTTCACTTTTATATATATATATATATATATATATATATATATATATATATATATATATATATATATATATATCACCCTGTTCGTCTATCTATCTGTCTATCTTTATATCGTATTCCGTTGTTATCTATGTTAGTTTTTCATATCCAACTATTTATCCATCTCTCAGTCTCATTCTGTTCCTTTCTATTTCTCCGTATATATATATATATATATATATATCGATGCAAGTTTGATCTGATATATCTATCTATATATCTATATCTATATATATATCTATATCTATCTATATATATCTATATATATATATTACATTATGTTTTCCCCTTTTCTCTCGCTCTCTTTCAATCTCACTCTCAACCTGTCTAGCTATATCAGTTTGTTCCTATCTATGATTAAATTACATTGAGAACATTATCTCATTCGATCTAGCACAAGCTTTTCAACTATCTCTCTATGTATGAGTGTATCAGTCTGTTCGTATATCTATCTATCTATCTATCTATCTATCTATCTATCTATCAGTTTCTTCATCAATCTATCTGTGTATCTATCTTAGTTTGTTCTACCTATCTATGAGTCTGTTTATCTATCTATTGATTTTTCACTCTGTTTATCTATCTACACACACACACACACATATATATATATATATATATATATATATATATATATATATATATATATATATAAATAAAAATAAAGAACAGTAAGATATATAATCTGGTGTTCTTATAGATATTAGTATTTTTACAAAATAGTGCTCAATGTAAATTTACAGAGCATTAATATTATAAATTAATTGATTAGAACTGTGTAGGGGAAAAACATATTTTAAATCAATTAATATATATATATATATATATATATATATATATATATATATAATATCAGTCTATTTCTATCTATTTTATCGAAGACTGTTTCTATCTCTTACCATTTCATTTACTCTTAGATTGTTTCGCATAGATTCCATTCTTTAAGTCATCTACTCTTAGTTATCTAATCCCATCTAAATAATTCTACACCCTAGTCCGTTATTTCTTTCTGTCCTCTTTCTTTTTTCTTTCTTTATATATTTTCTTTCTTTTTTCTTCTTCTCGTCTTTTCTCTTTCATTGTTTCTTTTGAATGTTTTTTTCTCTTTGTTTTTCTCTTTATGTCACATCGATAGTTTTTATTTGGCGTTATTTTTTCTTCTTCCTTTCCGTCTCTTATTTTTCTGTCTTGTTACTTTTTTTCATTTCTTTCTTTCTTTCTTTCTTTCTTTCTTTCTTTCTTTCTTACCATTATATTTTCTTTATCGTTCTTTTCCTACTACTTGATTTTCTTTCTTTCTCTCTTTGTCTAGCATTCCCTTTTCCTTCGTTTGTTTCATATTTCGTCTTTCTCATTTTTCTCTGTCTAATTCGGTAGACTCAAACTCATCCCTTTTCTGTAACATTCTCCGACGGCGGCCCTCCTCTCGCCAGAAATGGAAACGCGTGGGCCACGTAAACAAACCACTCCATTGCATACCGGACCGTCTACAGCTGCTAATGTTGCGTCTGGCTGGTGGAAAATACATAACAACAAAAGCAAGAAGAGCTATAAAAATATACATAACCTTAAATACAATCCCGAATCTAAATCCGTGGGCGTAATTCAATGCACTCGCTCGCACCATAGTTTTCGCTGTCTTACTGCATACTTTGTTGAAATTCTTTCTATCTTCCTCTCTAGCAATTTACCGGAACTTTTTACAAACTGTAACGACTTCTTCTTCTTCTTATTCTTCTTCTTCAAAATGGCGTGTTCCTTCAGGGCGTGACGGATCATTGCTCTTCACAACTATTCTGTCACTCTCATCGATGTTCGTCTTTTTATTGACTGTCGCTGCTCTACGTTCCATTTAAACAAATCTGTTCGCTGTGTAGCGCAAAGTTTTCCTCTTGTTTTCAGTTTGTCCTTTGAGTGTCATATTCTCCAAGGTCTCTTTCCTCGTTATGTATCCCACAAATATCGATCCTTCTTCTCACAATAGGTTCATTCTTCCCCCAAACCGAGCGAATTCCGTTCAAAAGAGAAAAACGGCTGCTTTGATTCCTAGGTAGCAATCACAATTATTAACCTGTAACTTTCCACCTTAACGACCTTTGGGTTTCGTATTGGGTAAATAATAGTAAAATAAATCTCAGTTTATTACAAGCAGTCAGATGAATGAAATAGGGACGGGATTAGGTATAGAGTTTGTAGAAGGGGAACGGCAATTTTTTTTTATTTTTTATTTTTTTTTTTTTGCATATCGCGGAGAGGAGAGTTTCCATCTTATTTTTCCTATAATCGTTCTCAGGCAAAATGGCGGAAACACGGACCGAACATCAAAAAGATTCGAGGGTTATTCTCTTTGCTCAAATCACGAATATTAATCTGAAGAAAGATGGTTGCTGCAGGAATGTACAAACTTTCTTTAAAAGACATTAAGGAAATACGTGTAAGATGACACATTGTTTTGGAATAGCATTTAATACAGAACAGAAAATAACACGTGTTTCATTGGTCGCTTCTAACCGGAATATTGCAACGTAATCAGATATTAAAAATAAAACATCTTTCTTATGTGTTTATTCTTTCGACCATATGCAGAATGAAGTTTTATGATCACATATAAAAACTTAAAAAAGTTTACTTCGTTGTGATGTAATGGTTAACAAGCATGTCCTACTTGACCAGTTACGACTCAGTACTGAGTTCGGCCATCCCTGGGTGCTCCATACTTTCGGCTTTGTGACACATCTAAGCTAATATTAGAAAATCATTTGGGCACTTCGACCTGATGTAATGGTTAACAAGCTTGTCTCGCTTGATTAATCCCGATTGCGTATAAACTTCGATCCTCACTGGGTGTGCCGCACATTCTGTTTTGTGTCACATCTAATCCCAGCCTAGAGAATCAGCATGTTTTGCTAGATTAGTTCCGACTTAGTGAGTTCGATCGTCAATGGGTGCTCCCAACTTCCGGTCTTGTGCCACATAAAAGCTTCGCTTAGTAAATCACTACATAAATTTAAAAAGACATCCTTCAAAACTTATGTACTTTTTGCCTCTTGCAAACATATGAAAATCGTTTTACTTTCCTGTGTATGGTCAGAGGCGATCATGGCTCTCCACAACTTCCTGACCTTGTAGCTCTTCGCAATGTTTGTCCCATCACTATTACTCCTGGTCCCTCTACAGCCACACATTTACGCAAGTTATTTAAGTTATTCTCAGTTTTCCCTTCCCTTTTTAGTTTCCATATGTGACAATTTATGTAAGCACTATTATGTATCCCAGAAATTTCGACCGCCGCTTTATGGTTCTAAGTATAAGTGTTCTTTTTGTTTTCATTGTTCTTAAAACTTGCCTGTTGTTCTGTCTATGTTATTCTTATCATCCTTCTGTAGAACCACATTTCAGTTTCTTCAAGTATTCCCGGCTGTTGGAATTTTGCGGTACCCTGGCGTACTAGTGAGCCAGCCAAAATGAGCTGACTCATTTTATAGTTCACCAATAGAAGAGTCAACCAATCAGAAGGCTCAAAATATTCAATGCGACGAGTATAAAGGCAGCCATGTTTTTTTCCCCGAATATGCACTGCCAGCCTTTTATATCGAAGACCTGAAGAATTACAGAACAGCTGCTGGTGGTGATATTGGCGATATAGTCAGATTCAGTAGAGTGTCTGACTCGTGAGTGTTAATCTTTAACGTTGTTTTATTGAACAGGTTACGTACTGCGCTGTATTCTATATTCATAGACTATGGTGAACATGGTCAACATCGGCCATATAGGAGGATTGATATTACATAATAATTAAATACCCGTTCATTTATTTCAAAGAACATTTTCCTATTTCTGAATATTTTGCTAGTTTTTGGAAGGTATATTCCGATATTCCAATTCACCCTCGGATTTCTGTGTCGTATTTTTCGGTTGAAACATCTCATCTTTGATCTGAAAACCTGGGGAGCCCAAGCACCAAACCGAAAGGAGTGGCATAAGTTTCATTAAGTTAAAGGGTTTTGAAGACAGTAGACTGAAGCACTGTGATCAGCTTCATCAAGCTCTGAAGAAAAATCCTGCTTTAACAAATTTAATCTGTTTTTGTGGCTTTGTCGCTCGCAGCAAGACTGGGCTAGTATCACACTTAAGAAAGCACAAATTAAATATGTCTTTACCTTTTAGAAAACGTACCATCCAATGCTCACCCTCATTTATCGTTCACAATAGGAGGTACATCGCATATATATATATATATATATATATATATATATATATATATATATATATATATATACCCAAGTATAGGATTGGTGTAGTCGGAATAAAATTCCAATAACCAAAAACACTATTCTTAAAAAAAAGTGCTCAACACAGAGTAGGACAAATATTATTTATTCCAAAATTATAACATAAACATGTTATAAATTCACTACAGAAATAGCCATTTTCTTTCAAGACTTCTGGTGTCTTTTCAAGTAATGGTTTTAATGAAATTCAACACCATTCAACACATCAGAAGTTTTGAAACAAAATGGCTATTTCTGTAGTGATTTTATAACATGTTTATGTTATAATTTTGAATAAATAGAATTATATATATATATATATATATATATATATATATGATTGTATCTCTATATACCTATACGGAACTAATGTCTACATATATTTTTATGTAGTACTTTACTGAGGCATGCAAATGCTCAATAGAAAGAAAGTAAGAGAGAGAGAGAGAGAGAGAGAGAGAGAGAGAGAGAGAGGGAGAGAGAGAGAGAGAGAGAGTGATGTGCATTGCTGGATCTGATGTTTTATTTTGGGGTGTTATTCATAATAATTAGATGCAAATGTAAATGTACTGGTAGGCATGTTTTGTAAGGACACTTGCCAAAAAATAAATGGAATTCCTACCGAAAAGAAAAGTTGCATAATTGTAACAAGTGGCTTTTACTGTGTGGGCGAGAAAACTATTCGCGAAAAAGCTAGAAAGCTCAGATAAAGGCAAATGTATCCTCACTGGTGACTGTTGTGTTATTTTTAAATACCATTTCCTTTCAGAACAAAGGCGATCATAGCTCTCTGCAGTTTACCTGTTTTATTATCTGGAAATTGCCATGACTTCTTGAGAAATATACTAGAATCGTTTCCTGTTGTCTTCTCCATGATTTTGTATTCAGTGTTATCCATTTTCTCGAATAGCTTCCATCTTACCAAGTTCTGTCTATGGATTCGTGTCTTTCTCAAGAGGATTGGTGCGAAAGTGAACGCAGCAGACAAGACTGGAATTTGAACTCTGCCACCGACTCCGCTTTCCACACTGAAGATCGCTACGCTAAAATGTAAAATTTTAAGAGAGGCGAAAATTGGGTCTAGTGGCACCCCCGTGAAGTTCACCGTATATTTATTAAAGTAAAGAAGTGAATTAATACATATGCGATAATTTCCCCAGTATTTTTTAACGTTACAGCCATAAAAAATGAATAAAATTCAACCTGCATATCATCGCTTCTACTTGAAATTCAAATTATGTAAAAAATAATAATTTTTCTTCTCTGCTTTTGAAAGCCCATTGTTGAACATAGGCCTTCCCCAAATCTCATAGGGAGGATTGAACTGTTACTCTAGCATTCTGCCCCAATGCGTTCTGGTAGAGGCAAATGTGACTGGCTTGGACGATCATGCCTCTTCGAACGATGATCAGTCAAAGGTATTTGCGCGGAGAAGGCAACTGGAAACCACTTCAGTATATTTCGTAAGATGTCATTTAAAGATATTTACAGTAATTTACAGATAAGAAAATAGAATTTGTAGAGAGACATAAGCGCCTACGCCCTGAAAGAACATGATATTAAAAAAAAAATAGTAATTATCGTCTCCAAGCTTTTTGCTGATCATTGCTCTACCGTTTTCATCAATCTTTACTAAGCTTAAATGTGTACAATAGAAGGCCGAATGTGTGAGCCATCCTCACTACAGTAGTAACGTTCTGCGAATCTGGTTTCTTAATTAGTGCTTTACGGCAGGATGCTTAGTGTTTAGTTTAAATTCTCTTTATTTCAATATTCATGCCTTGTTCTTTAAAGATTTTTTATTTGATTTTAATTTGTATTTTACGGTTTATCAACATATTTTGGATTGTAAGAATAGTTTTTTTTTTTCATTTTTTTTTATGCATTAACAATCTTTTGAGAATAACAGCGTTTTTTTTCCAGATACAAATACCAATATTTAACTCATATTTCGTGGAGAATAGAGAACTTCATACCTTTTTCCCAAGGTTATTTGCATATAAGTGAATGTAACG